TCACAGCCCTCCAGAGCCTCCTCCTGGCAATTTAAAGTTGGCTAATCCTGTTCACCATGTTATTAACTTGCTGGCAATGCTGTGACATAGCATAAACATATTAGCAGGCTCTCCTCTGTCTTTATCCCCACTTCTCCCCCAAATAAACAACAAAACCTAAAACCAAACATGGCTATATTTCAGTGCAACAAGCCACTTTTCCACTAGGTGGAAGGAATTCATTTCTTCTACACACTGCATGGACTGCAAAGATTGATCACCTGAATAGAATAAATCATAGCTCCAAGAAACAGTTCCATTTTCCTCTGCAATTCCACCTTTGTATTTCAGAGGTCTGGCACAGCTGTAACCCAAAAGTTTACCTGCATATCCAGATGCACAATACAGGCTGCTCAAAGACACTCAATAACAAAGAAGTAGTTCTCCAAGAAAGCAAAACTACTCAGTGGAACACACAAAAGACTGGAAGAAAGAGAAACAAAACACAAGACACATTCAAAAACTTTAAGTTAAACCTTTGGGTCGAAGAACACAAAAGTTACCACAAACATTTGAGCTCCCACCCAGGATCAGAGCTTTGACTGTTCTATCTCAGCTATTTAATGAAACCAGGTGACAGGCTGGTCATAATGCCCTGCACACACCTCTTCCAGATCTTACACTTGGTTTCTGGGCCTGATCTCCATCAAGGAGCACAACAACAGCCGGGATGCACTGAGTGGAGCAAAAAATCCTGCAGACTTGGTTCTCTTTGCTCACTGCAATTAAAAGAAATGGCAGAGAGAAAAAAGAGCAAACAACAAAGACATGAAAGAGTTGTATTGTTAAATCAGTACAAGCCACAGAACATGCACAATTGACATCAGGGACAAGGAGACAACACGGAAAGCAGAGAACAAGAAGAGACAGGAAGAAACAAATAACAGTGTGAGATTCTGGTCTGTGACACCATGGTAAAGTACATCAACATGAACCATGACAGGATTTCACCTTCAGCACTATAAATTAATCCATATCTACTTTCTGCTATAATGTGGCCGGTCCAAAGACCAGACTGGAGGCTTCCACACTTGTAGACAGTGTGGGGGGGGAAAGAACAGAACCAAACCAAACAAGAAGTCTCTACTTTCCTCCCTTCAAAGACACAAAGGTAAAGGGGGTGACAATTTCCCTTACAAGCTGAGCAAAGCAAACACTGCAGGTCATTACAGCGCTAAGGGGGTGAGCCCTGCACACAGTCAGACAGGAAGGTCACGCAGAGGCTGCTGTAGTAGGTGGGATACACCCGCATGTGGCTGACGTGGGGCGAGTCCGAGAAGTCCACGGCTTTCACGGGGACACCGAGCTGCTGCCTGGTGTCAGCCATGTGCTTCACCTCGCTGGCCTTGATGATGGCATCGGCCTGGGAGTAGAGGTACAGCTCGGGCCAGCGCGAGGGCGCCTTCAGCAGGGCGTCGTAGTGGCTCTCGTGGACGAAGCGGGTCAGGGGGTACAGCAGCACCCGCAGCACAACGGCTCCAGTGGCAAAGGTGAGCAGGAGGAAATACCTGAGCAGCACGTTCATGGAGACCAAGACAATTGCCAGGGCGCGAAGGGCTCCTACCAAGTTTCTTCTGCCAGGGGTGCTGTCGAAAATGGTGCCTGCTACTTGGAGGTTCTGGAACGGCTTGTGGGTGTGGAGCGCCTCGATGATGTAACGGTACAGCATGACACCACCGTTGCTGAAAACATGGAAAAGAACCGGTCTGTCTTCAACCCTGTAGTGAAAGAGTAGCTCCAGGAGTCGCCTGGCTGGGGTTTGGAGCGATTTGATGCCAAAGGTCTCAGAGAAGAATATCATCCTCCATGGAGCCGTGTAGCGGATGACAGTGCACCCCTAAGAAGAACAGAAAGAGATCCCGAACACATTTAGGCTGTGCTGTAAATTACATGATGTAGGCAAACATCAGTGCAAAAAATGCAAAAATTTGGGACAGGTTTCCAACAGAAACCACAGGGCCAGAAGAACGTCTTTAGAGTCACTGATACGAACAGGATTACATTAATCGCAACATTACATAATCATAACACTGTTATGAAAAGGTCTCTGCGGAGGCAGAAGCCTGGCTTTGCTGATGTCTGAGATCCTTTCAAATCTTGCACTAATGGCATGGCCCCTGGGGACACTGCCACCCACTTACATGAGTGTTAGTCCTCACTTAGGAGGAGAAAATCATCTCTCTGATTCACAGACCTTCAGTATCAGCCATTTTGGTAAGAATGTGGTGCACATCCAGCTCATGACATTGAAACAAATACAAGAAGGAGGAGGAATTTCGTCCTCTCCTTGGGTAGCACTTGTTTGCAGCTGTCTCTGAGACTCACCCACAGCCACCATTGACAGGATTTTTGTAAACCTTCCTGAAATGTTCCAGCTGTGCAAAAGAAGAGCTCTGGCTCAGAGACTCAGAACTCCTGAGCAACTGCCTTTACACTTATAGCCTTGCACAGCAAACAGGATCATGGAGGATTTTCTAAATAGAACAGATGGAACCACATCTATAAATGCTTTAGATCTTTTCTGTCACCTAAGCTCACTGACATTACACACTGACAAACACAAGGCAAAGCCACCCAGACAGCCCTTCCTCCCAGAGCTCCCTAAGCAGTGCAGAAGGAAGAGGAGAATACCAAGTTCTTAAATCAAAGCCTTCTCAACCATCTTGCCATGGTTACTGTCACTCCCTCTTAGGGAGCTACGAAAACCCTTTCTCTCCTTTCCCCTTTCTGTGACCTTTCTGATAGGAAGTTATTTTCCAAGAAGTTGTCACGCTGCCCTGCAATGCACTCCTCATCTGCTCTGCAGCATCTCTTAGTCATAGCAGCCACTTAACAATTAATTCTTCACTAGATCAAGCCAATTAATGACTCCTGCACTCCACACGTCAACAACAGACTTGTTAATGTACAAACTTTACCACCTACAGCTGAAACAGATTTGGATAGATACAGGATTCCTTGTATGCTGACCAAGGAAAAAAAAATCTAGTGTTTCACTGGCTCCTCACACTACGAGCTGGGGTCATTCCAGTAAAACACAGCATTAGAAAGGAAAATATCAAAACTTAGGGAACTGGCAGTAGGATGGACCTCCCTAGTTCAAACACCAGGAGCTCCTAGTGAGAAGCTATGACTATCACAGGATGCCTGTTTCAGAGGCAGGATAAAATTAATTTAGATTACAACATTTACATGAATCATTTTCACAGGAAGGAAGAGCCAAAGGGGCGACAGATGCCGATGTGCTCTGTCAGTGCCCAGCCTTGCCAAGCCTGTGCTGTGGCCTAACAGCAAGCAGTAAACACAGGATCTTTCCCTGCATGTTTACCTGCCTGGAAAACTAACACAGTTCCCGTCATTCCTGAATAATCCCACAACTTTAAAAGCCTTAAAATACTTCAGTGATTCACAGAGCAGCTGAAAGTTTCTCCAGTGAAGTATTTTTGTCTCAGCTGCACACAGGAAGGTGACAGCAGCAGCTGTTAGATAACACTGCCTGGGCTCCGGGAGATAAGGAGCTTTCAACGACAGAACTCGCCACTCCCTCCCCATGACTCTGCAGATCGAGAGAGGCTTCAGAGCGACTTTACCAACATGCAGAAAAGAGGCAGTGCCATGAAAACACAGACAAGCTACTCACCTTCTGGCTGTAGATTGCGCTGTATTTGGCCAGGTATTTGTCCTGGCAGCCCGCCCAGCCCAGCAGGATCACCACGGGCTGGCGCTCTGCGTACCCTCTCTCCGCGCTGCTTTCTGAAACTAATCACAAGTTTTAACATGACGCCCCTCCGGTCTGCCCGAGCCGCAACTCACGGCAAACTGCCTGGTCAATGCAGTTTAAATGGAGTGGCGGAGCGGGCATTAGCTCGATCTGTCCGTCGGCCGCGAGCGCGGCCTCAGCCCGGTGTCCCCGCGGGGCCCCGCTCGGCAGGACAGCGCCGCTCCAGCCCCCGCAGCTCCCACCGCTCTCCAGTGACGCACAGCCAGTGCCGAGCAGATCCCCACGGGGAGGCGAAAGCCCTCCTCCCTGGGGCACCACAGGCTGTCGTGCCCCGCTGTTCCAAGGGGAAAAGCGAAGCGTCCTGCCCTGCCCTGTCCTCACTGCCACACACCTGCTACGGCACTCCCCCTCAGGGGTCCCCCCAAGCCCGCGCCCCCCAAGGTTCCCCCAGTCCCTGCTGTCCCTGGTGTCCCGGTCCCGCTCGCCCCGCACCGTGGTCCTGGTCCTGTCCTGGTCCCGGTCCCGGCTGCAGCTCCACCACGGCCGCCTCCAGCCCGTGGGCGCCCATGGCCGCGCTCACCGCGCTCCCGCCGCCGCTTCCGCCCTCCCCGCCGGAAGCCCCGCCCACCCCCTCCCCGCAGCCAATGGGGAGGGGAAGCTCCCGCCCCACCTCCCCGCTGGCCTTGCCCCATCCCCGCCCCCCATTTCCTTAGCAACGCGCCCTTAGCGACGGGCCCGGCGCCCCGCCCACTGAGGGCTCATTGGGTCGCGGGCGGAAAAGAAGGGCGGCGATTGGTGCGGCCGCGTGTCAGTTATTGTGCGAGGTAACCGCCCCCCGGGGCTGGGGGGCAGTGAGGGGCTGCGGGGCCGGGATGGGGGGAATGGTTGGGCCTGGAGTGGGGATCACACTCAGGGAGGCTGGGAATAGAGTGTGGGGGCTGAGCGGCGCTGTGGGCCTGAGCTGGGCGTTTGGGTCAGGAGGGGCGACGCAGGGGCTGGGCACGGGCGCCAGGGAGCGTGTGAGGGCCCGACGTGGGGTTTGGGGTGTAGGGGAGCGCAGGGCCTGTGGTTGGGCTGGATCGGGCCTGTGGGATGGTGGGCTGGGGCAGGGAATGCTGAGGCTGCCGTAGGTCAGGCGGGGCAGGGGTGGGATGGAAGCAGGGTCAGGGAAGCGGGGTGAGGCCGTGCAGGGCTGCGTTTGGGGCTGTGGCTGCATTAGCAGTGGGGCGGGGGGCCAGGACGGACAGTGAGAGAGGGGCCGGCGGGACTGTGGGGTGGTAGGGGCTGGGTACAGTGGGGTACGCTGAGGAACGTGCATTGTGCGTGAGGAGGGTGGTGGGGAACTTGAGGTGTGCCAGGAGAGGGTAAAACCTGTGGGGGAAACAGAAGCTCTAAGTTCTGCTTGAGGCTGGGCACAACCTCGATGTTGCAACACCAAATCACTGTCACTCTATCGTTCCACGAGTCCAAGGCGATCAGTCGCTGGCACCTCGCACTTGGACTGAGGCTGACACAGCAGCAGCCTGCCTTTTGATCTCAAACTGATGATTTAGCAGCACTCTGGATGTAAAGAACTGCTGAATTGCCAGGGCCAGTTCCTAAATCACTGGTGTTTTTCTTGGCAGGAATAAAGCCCTGCCCTGACCCAGCCTTGTTTTGATTATTAGGTCCAATGGACTGGGTGGCAGCCCAGCACTGTGGAGAGCAGAGTTTGAAGCCAACAAACAGGGAGTTGTGTGCTGATGCTAGCACTGACAAACGACTCAGGCAAGCCATTTAACTTCCCTGTTTTACATATGTTCCCATATGTAAAATGATCATAATAACAATATTAATGCACATTTTCAGGGTACTTTGCAATGTTGGCTTAAAGACTACTGTGTCAGCAGATGCTGTGATTATAGCAGGCAGGGTAACCACTTTATCCTGTGAAGCCCCATGTCATCACTGTTTCAAACTCCTTTTTTTTCCATTGATCCATAGGCAAGCCCTTTGTATCACTAAAATCCTCACGTCCACAGGCTGGTGCTGGTATTTCTGAAGAGTGGGAGGGTTACTGCAGTTTTATAATAAAAATGGGATAGCAGTACACCACCAGCATCTTAAACATAAATACAGAAACATTAATTTAGAATCAATTTTGGGATGTTTCAGACTGTAAAGTTCTTTTAACTAGATCTCTGTTGAGGACAGAGGAGCACTTTATGGGACTGTAAATTTCATGCAAACAGTCTCTGTGAAATACAGATTCCCCCTACACATGAGCTGTTCTCTCAATATCAATCATATGCCTTGTAAGTAATGTTTCACAAATATTCTGTAAATCACAGGAAAATGCTTGCAATAATGTGAAATATGACTTTCACTTGACTGTTTCAGCAGAGGCCCCTAACAGGCCATTCTCCTGTCAGCACTAACATTTGTTATGGCTAATAACATTTTCAATCACAACTATTTTGGGAAAATGGATTTATTTTAAACCTGCTTCCCCTCAAAGGAGGTCCTGAAAACGCCCTGCCAAGGACACAGACTCCTTACAGAGCACAAACCGTTAATTCCCAAATGAAATTTCATCTCATCTTAATTCTTAAACCTTGTTCCTTAAAGACTTTGTTTGTTTGTTTGTTTGTTTTCAGGTTCTGAGATACATGTTCACCTCTTAGTCACTGTTTTCAGTCTGGCTCCAATAATAGGAATAAAAAGTTACTTTTGAGCAAGTATCTTGGGGATATTCTGGAACTGCTTTGGAATTTTGCTCCAGATTCTAGGAGAAAGGACTTAAGAATTTTGTAGCTAGGGAATTGGTAATCTTGGTGATTTGTATTACATTGAAAGGAACTTCTTGTTCTGAAATCCAAAGGTTGTGTGTCGTTCTAACTTTTTTTCTCCTAAACCACACTTAAATAAAACCTAAAATGGTGCTTTTCTTAGGCAGGAAGTCCAAGAAGTGCATTAGACAAGGCGAGAACTCCTTTCTTATCCTTAGGCATGTTGATAGAGCTTGGTGGAGGACAAGGCACCTGTGTCAATGCAGCTGTTTGCAACCTTATTCCTCCTTCTGTATCTGTGTATGGACACAGATCCTGGTGTCTAACTCCTTGGGACTGGTCAGTGTCCTCCAGCCAAACACATACACACCAGTGGGATTGTCACCTACCTGAGCAAATGGAGAGCTTGATCCCTGACATTTCACCTCCCTACAAAGTACACCTTCACATGTGTCAAGCTGGAATAGGGGTTATTTTACTGAGCCAAGAGTGTGCCAAAGAAATTTGGCAAAATGTGGGTTGCTTTATTTAACACCCGTGTGAAGGGATGGAAGGAAGTGCAGAGACAGGATGTTTCTGGGGCTTCTGCCTTCTTGCCTATAGCTCTTATCATTTTAGCTTTTCTTAGATTGTTTAAAAACATGCCTGGGAAATTAGACAGGAAGAAACCCGAGCAAATGTCTGTTGTGCCAAAGGGTGCCAAAGCACTCTTCCACTGCCAAGGCCAGGCACATATTCCTGGGGTGGATGTGGGCCCAGCCCAGATGACTGTCGCTCCAGCACGTGAGTGAGGGCTGCACTGCTTTGCTAACAGGCATTTATAGCCCCCTTGACCCTGTCACTCCCCATAAATCCATACCTATTTCTGCTCTCATTTCACCCTATTTATTCCCTGGCAGGTCAGATATGAGATGCAGTGTTCATATCATGAGGCTAGTGAGAAACCAGGCCTGGGGTAATGGGAAACATCAAAACGACTTTATTAACAGAGCAGAGAAGAGAGCTCCTGTAGTGAAACCACCTGCCCCGGAAAATAATCTCAAGTCTGTCACAGATTCACTGTGCAGCTTCAGACATACCAGGAACTCTCCTTCTGCCTCAGTTTTCCTATCTATGACATGAATATAAGGGAAAATGAGATTAAATTAATGGTTAGTAAGAGCTTTAGTATTATTTGCCAGAGATTTTAAATGTGATTTTGGTAGTAATTCCTTAGTACGGCCTTCCTCTATCTTCACAGCCCTTTTTAAACTTCTTTCGTATTTTTCTCTAGGCAGAAGAGATCCTGACTTCTGTCAAAGAACAGGAAGCTCATGGTTTTCTTGCATGAATGGGATAGTGCCCACAAAGTTGCTCGAAGCTGCGTCCTGGACAGCTTCATTAAAAGCAAGGCAGAACCAGAGCTGGAGCTGAAGTTCTCCCAGGGAGCCAGTTTGTTCCTGGCTCACCTAACAGCATGGCTCAGGATGGCATATCTGTTTCCTCAGACAGCCGGAGGTGCTGTGTGGTAGTGAGATGGAGAAGAGGGGCAAGTTCTCTACCAAAAATTAGTTTAAAGAATAAGCTCTGCATGGAGACATTCATATCCAGCCGTGTTCTGCAGGTTTGAAAAACAACCTGGCTATCTAAAGATGAAACTGAAGGGAAAGCCATGTAAGCTGTCTCTGAGGAACGTAGAATTAGTGTTTTTCTTGCACTGGGATGAGCGTGCTGCCTCTGCCTGCCTGTGAGAGGAAGATCCACGCTCTCTTGCAAGAGACAGTACCCAGTTCAGACCTCCATCTGCTGCAGCAAGGCAGGAGGTGATGGCTCCCAGGAGCACGGCCTGCTGGCAGAGGAAGATGGGCTCCAAGGCAGGAGACACTTCTGGCTTTGTTCCCTCTATCCTTGAAGCCACAGGTACCTTACTGAATTTCTGGAGGTCAGAGGTGTCTCGATTCCCCTGGAAATATCGGGGCTGAACCACCTGAAAGAAGAGGACAAAAGGGAGTCTGTAAAGCTGCTGCCGCTCACCACAGACACTGGTAGGGAGTATAAGGAGCTCATTTGCAAAAGCTACAGTAGGCAGTGTCCATCTATTTAGGAATTGTCCTAATTCAGGCAAGGATGTTCTCCCTGACCTCTGACCCCCGGGGTTCCTTGCTGTGCTGAGCCACTCCCACCCCTCCACCTGTGGATGGCAGATCATTGCAGTGCTGGTCTGGCTGGAAGGAGTTCAGAGTCTCAGCTATTGTTGAGTGCCTACATTTCATCCCCTCTCATTTTTTAACAAGCTCACTTTCTTCACAGTCGTATTGGCACAATATTGCTGCCCTGCTGGCTGCAATTCCTCCTGTTAAAACCACAAAACAGTTTCTATTCTTACCTGCAGCATTCACCTACTGCAAACTTTCCCAGAGTTCCCCTCTGGGGTGGGAGGGTTTTGCAGCTCGTATCTTTGAAAGAGCATTACAACATTTTTTTCCCGTTTTTTTCTCCTTGCCATTGGAAGCCAAATCCTGCTGGTTCTGTAGTTGGAGGATGTTGTCAGAGGCCATGGGGTGATACATGCTGTCACAGCTTTCTCCAAGAGAGATGAAGCAGCAGGATCAGCAGTGGGATCCTTAGCAGCTCTGTTTGGCATTCCAGTGCCAGATTCTACTTCTGTAAACACGCGCAGAAGGGCCTTCCTTGGCCACCTAAACCAGCTGAGAATTTTGCCAGCTGGTTTTTCAGTTGATGGTGTGGCTCCTGACAAGGGCAGAGAATTTTTTTCCTGGCTCTTTGAGCCACACTTCAAGTGGGATGTGATACTGGGTTCTCTTGGGGTGGCAGTGAAACAGCTGAGATGGGTGACCCATTCTCGTCCAGGCACATGAGTTGGCATCTCTTTCTCTGCATAGGGGTACAAGACCTCGCCAAGTTCTTGGCCTCTTCCAACAAAGCAGAGGGTCAAGAAGACACGCAGGTTCTGCTGGACTCTTCAGGCCGTGACAATCGCAAGCACCAGAACCAAGTCTACCTTATAGCTGTGCTGCTCTGTACCTCTCCACAGGGCCAGCATGGGCTCTGCCGATGCTCAGGGTCATGCAGGTGGGTAATGAGCCTTGTGGGGAGAAATGGGAAGTGTTTGCATCTGTGCCGATCCTTCCTGCCCAGACAGGGGCTGTGTGCATCTCCCTGGCACTGGGGCTGCACTGAGCAGCCCTGGTGCCTGGAAGAGAACTGTCTGGAGAACTGCGTGAAGGCTGTCCCTGTCACTCTGCCCTTTCTCTCCAGGATATGGTGGGAGAGGTGCCCTGTGCCCTCGACGAGCCCGTGCTGGGCGTGCTGCGCTCTCTGCACCTGGAGTAGGAAAGCAGGATTTGTGTACCCACTCTGGGCGCTCTGGGGCAGGCCTTGGCTGGCCTGGGCAAGTGTGACGGGGGTGAAGGGCGAGCTCAGGAGCTCCCGGCCATATATCCCCAAACACCCCTCCCGCCGGAGTGCGCCGCCTCATTAGTATTCATTCATTTGCATACCCAGGGTGCACCGCGCCCGGTGCCGCAGCCCCGGTAAAGCCTTTCGGTGCCGCCGCTCTCCGGGGCCGCTGGTTCCGGTGCGGGGTCGGGCCAGTCCCTGCTGGGTGAACGGACCGGGGAAACGGAGGGTGGAACCGGGGGTGGAGGGGGTCGCCATGACCTAGGGGGGAACAGCTGAGAGTACGTATGTGCAGGGGGATAATTTTAGGTATACTCTGGTTTCTCTTCAGATCGTATAAATCTTTCGCCTTTTACTAAAGATTTCCGTGGAGAGGAACAAGTACGAGTGTCGAATAATTTTTTGAGGCTCCATTTCGGTGGAGCTATCCCTATTCTGGTGAAAAATAGAAAAACAAATAGTAGTACAGAAATGTAAAAGGTCTGGACTCGGATCGTAGTGTTGTACTGCAGACAGGGACAGTTATTACCCTTCCCGGAGGAAGGAGCGGTGTCTGCAGCGGGCTCGGTTCCGCGCCGGTGCCCACGCTGACCCCGGTACTCAGTCCCTCCGCTGCGCCCGTGCCCCGGCCGGGGCGGCCCCCTCATCACCCTTGTCCCATTACAACGCGGGCGAGCGACCGGGGGGGGCTCGGGCGGTGCAGCGTGGCGGCTGCGTGCCGGCCGTTCGGGCTCCGGGAGAAGCGGCCAGCTGGGAACCTGCCCCGCTGTCCCGGGCGCTCCAGCCCCGCCCGGGCCGCCGCTCCGGCGCTGTTGGCGCGACCCGGGAGGATCCCGGAGGAGCCCAGTCGTTACTGTCCGGGGCCGTGCGCTGGGCCCGACCGCGATCCCCCTCCCTTCGGTCCGTGGCAGAGGCGTACGGCGGCCTCTCCCGGAGCCGACTTTCAGCCTCTCTGCCGCGCTGCCGAGGAAACCGTGCGACCGGAGCCGGGGTCCTCCAGCATCCCGGTCCGCTCCCGTTCGCTGTCCCGCCGGGCCCGCCCCGCCCCAGCAGCAGGGCAGGTAACCCCGGGCGTGGCCTCCCCAGCACGCCGCGAACAGCATACCCGGGGTGCAGTGGGGGCAGCGCCGGGCCGGCCCCGCCGACAGCCGCCCCTCCGAGCCGCGCCCGGGGCTGGGGCCGGTAGGGGTGTGGAAAGGGCGGGGAGCTGGGGCCGAGGCGAGGGAGGCAGCGGGGGAGGTGAAAGGGGGTCGCCATGTCCGCTTGGGCAGCGTCAGGGAGGGGGTACATGTGCGGGAAATACAAAGTATATACTCTGGTTTCTCTTCAGATCGTATAAATCTTTCGCCTTTTACTAAAGATTTCCGTGGAGAGGAACAAGTACGAGTGTCAAGAAATTTTTTGAGGCTCCATTTCGGTGGAGCTGACCCTATTTTGGTTAAAAACAGAGAGAGCTCATTTAAGCGTTTTTCGCACGCGCGTTCAGCGTGGTGAGAGTGATTGTCGCGTTACGAAGTTGCGATGCGGAGCAGCGGAGGAAATGATCCCTTGCGATTCGTACCGTGGGAAGAAGTGATCTGCTCCAGAAGTGGGGCTGGTACCCATGGAGTTCACTCACACCTCTCCGCCCGCGCCTCCTCCTCCTCCTCATTAGCACCTCCTCGTTACCGGCTGATTTGCATACCCAGGGTGCCCCGCGGCCCCGCCGGTGTCCGGCGCTGCGGCCGCTGCCCCGCCCGGGCTGTCGGGGCCGCCCGGTGTGTGCGCCCCGCGGGGCCCCGTCGGACCGCGGCCCCGGGACCGGGAGAGCCGGGCGGGTCCGTGTCACCCTGACATGTGGGGCGTGGGGCAGGCGGCGGCAGCGTCGGGGAAGGAAGGAGGGGCATACTCTGGTTTCTCTTCAGATCGTATAAATCTTTCGCCTTTTACTAAAGATTTCCGTGGAGAGGAACAAGTACGAGTGTCGAATAATTTTTTGAGGCTCCATTTCGGTGGAGCTATCCCTATTCTGGTAAAAAATAGAGCTATAAATGTGATAATAGTGGGCATATGCGATGTGGGACGACCAGGTACAGTCCTGACATAGGCTCCCCTCTGGCTTTCCAGGTCCAGCTTTCTCTGCTCAGGTTCCGGCTCGTTATTGACCCCTTCCCCAGGAGGAAAGCGTGTACCTAATGCGACGAGACTGCTGAAGGTACAGTAGCTCACCACAGTCCCCAAGCACACAGCTATCTGTGACCAGCCAGGGCAACCGGCAGAGTGTTTCTCTCAGGGTCCTTCATCTTCTGCAGGGCTCACCCTGGCTGCCACCAAAGTCATTGGGTGAGACATTGGAGAAAAATTTACAGGACCATGAAAGGGACCTTAGAGACATGGCTTCTTTTGGGTAGGAAAGGACTGGGACATTTTCCTCCTGGAGAGGGTTCACCCCTCTTTCTGGCACTGCTCCCTGGCCGAGTACCCCAGCTGTGCCAACTCTCCAGCACAAAGCTGCTCAGGGGTGGGTGTGTTCAGGAATGGGGCAGAGTTGCTGCCTGCAGGTAGTATTGCTCAGATGCTCCCTGCTACTGACACTGGAGCTGGCGTGAGGTTTTATTTACAGGGAGATGTGAAGTCTGCTCTGGCCTTGAGTGCTGTCACCTCCTATGGCTGGGCCTAGAAGCAATCTATGTCCCACACAGGGCTGAATGGTGCTGCATTGCTCATGGCCTCTGTATTCTCCACATACCTGTGAATAACCTTTTTTGACATCAGCCACAACTGACTGCAGAATACTTAAGGGAAATCGGCCATTTATGCTAAAATCGGTTCATTCAGTATGAATTTCCCATAGTGTCCACAAGATAGTGCTGTCAGAACACTTGTCCTGCAAAAGCAGATGACAAAAAACCCTTAGTGGGTAGGGAGACATTCGTGGAGAGTCTTCCAGTCTGCACAGAAGTGACAGTGGTGTTTGAAGCCTGTGTTCCTTTTGGTCACACAGGAAACTTGCCAGACTTTAATAAACACTAGAAAGCTCTCACCAATCATTAAACAATGATCCATGCACAGCCAAACAGTTCTTGTTTATTTTAGGACTCTCCTTCCCGTCTGTTGGTGCCACTAGGGCTGGAGACAGCACTTTCAATTAGGGTTGCACCAAGAGGCCCAGACTCCATTTGGTGTGTGCTTCTTTCCCATCCAGGGTAGGGGACTGATGGCCTAGAAATCAAGTCTCTGGCTCCTGCATTAGATATACAGATTAGTAAACAATATTAAGTCCAGGGTGGGGAGGTAGAACAAACAAGGAGCAATACTTTGTTTCTTGCACCCAGGCATCACAGGGAAAGGCTGGGTCATCCAAAAGCAGTAACACCTGAAGCAGAACAGGACCATCTTGCTTTTGTCCGGACTCAGTAGGGCATAACATCCCTTTTACTCTGGATGTGCCATAGGAGCATGATGCAGGCAGAGCCCAGATCCAAGTCAGCTTTGACTGTTCAGAAACCTTCAGAGTGCTCAGCCCCACACTGCCCCCAGTACTTAAACTGCTCATCACAAAGTGCCCCAGCTGTAGAGGAGGATCCTGTCAGGGTTGAAGGATTCCTTCTTTAGCTGCTTGTGACTACTGCTCACCCACATCCCACAAAGATCTTTTCCTGTCTTTTCCAGGCCCATCCTGAAACCAGGCACACAAAAATGGATCCAGTCCAGACTGAATAACTGGCCTCCCCTATAGTCAGCATCCCCAGAGACATGGCAAGGATGCAGTCCACAGAAGGTGGGTGCAGAGCTGGATGCACTGTCACTGAAATTACACCCTTAACTTTAAGAGGAAGAAGACAGCTCAAAGAGGGAATAGTAATAGAAGGATCCTTTTGTGATCTGATGCTTGCATAGCTGCATCCAATGTTGCTGAACCTAGAGCCTGCAGGCCTGTTTTGTTCTTTCCAAGACAACCCCCGGCCTGAGCTGAACAAATAGTAAAGAGCAGGCAGCAGCACCTGTCTCACAACTACCTCCCCAACCTGCTCTTTCCCAGAGGACAGGGTGTATACCCACCAGTACCCAGACTGCACACATGGGCCAGGGCCCAGCTTTGCATTTCTGCCCTCAAATACAGATTTTGGGGGGCTGCTGAACATCTTTGTGTATTTTATGTGGCATAAAATGGGAAACATATGAAGAAATATAAAATAAGATCCTGTGGTTATCTTCAAAACCTACGTAAGCTCCAGTGGTACAAAGGAGTCTCACAGGGCCCTTCCTACTTACCTGATAAAATAGCTGAGCCACTCAGTATAGAGGAGGATAGGTACCTTCTAAACTAGCTTCCCTCGTGTTAGGCAAGTTCTACCCAGCAAGATCTCAAAATTAAGAGACAAAACTTATTTTGAGTGATTTTTATGTAAACATTAAAAGTATAAAGACTTTGGAAAAAAACTTCATCCAAGAAATCAGCCTCTCTATACAACCAGCCAGTCTTTAGGGCTGTTAGACTTTACCAAAATCAGCAAGAAATATGTTTTATAGGACAGAAGATAATTAAATCCAAGAACATTTATTTATTCAACTTTAAAATACTGAGTTTTACAATCACATAGTCCATTTTGTTTCTAGAAAAGCAAAACTTGCAACACTTTTGCAGTGCTTCAAGCACATCTGGAAAGGTTATGTACTATACATGTGTATTTAGTTCTATTAGGGGACATCATTGTCACCAGCAAAAGGCCAGATACCAGACATCTCTCAGGCAGAGACTGCAGACCCTCAGGCTTCCTCCCCAAGCCTTGCAGTGAGTGCATTTTAGCACTTTGCTGAGTCCCCTGATACAGGCCATGGAGAAAAAGGCTGCCGTGTTCACTGCCCTTGGGCACACATGACCTGCAGACACTCTACCACATTTAAAACGACTGACACAAACCACTGACAGACATGCAAGACAAGACAAGTGCGTGAAAGATTGCTTGTGAACCAGATTTTGCTGTAATGACTAAGGCCTCTGCCTTCTTATCTGCTTGCTGGCTTGCTCCTCCAGTTGCATGGCAGCCCCCAGGGCATCCAGTGTTTCTGTAAAGGAAGATAGGAGTGACAGGGTGACTGACCTGGAAGCTGAGTTCCCCAGCCCAGCTATCCCTCTCAGCAGAGCTGAGAGCTATGCAGAAGGACTGGGTGCTCAACCCCCCACAGGTATGCTGGGGTTACTTTCAGGTCTTTGGAAAAGCATTAGTGACAGTGCTAGTCAGAGACAGGCACTCACCTCTAACGCTGAGGAAATTTCTTGAGCTGTCCTCTACGAAGTACTTAGCTCTGCTCACAAAGGTCTCGAGATCATAGTCTGGTTTCTCTGTGATTCCCAGGAGGCAGTCAACTTCAGTCATCATTGTCATCATTCTCTATATTTACAGGGATAACAGCAATGAGAAGTTGACTTTCTGGAAATTAAGTTAGTTGCTTCATATCTGGCACTCCAGCCAACAGAGCTGAGCTTCTGCAGACCAGGAGCAGTCAGTGCTCATTAGCAACAAGTAGAAGTTGCTAGCTGGAGAGGAAGAGGATCCAGCAGGCCAAAAAGCACTGAAACACCCCAGTTTAACCAGTTGGGCAGGAAACCACGGAAAAAAGTTGTTGGTGAGGAAAAAGTAACACCACTGTACAGATCTTGCAATACAGCCTAGATCCTCCCCAGCAGCACTTGGCTCAGACAAGGTGACCTGCTATCAACATGTAGAAGGCAGCCTGGGCTGGGCTTGCCACTTGCACATACCTGTCTCAGTTCTCTAAGCTGTTCTACAGCCTTCTCCTCCCGTTCACTAACTTGAGTCATAGCCTCACGATAGTTGAACATGTGGGGAGAGAGATCTTCCTCCTCATCCTTGGAGAACTGAAAGAAACAGCACACGTAAGAACAGCAAGTTGTTCCCAGCTTTGAGTTCTGTTCAGCCCATTACACACACGTACACTGTATTGAAGACCCAAGCCTTCTCCACCAGTCTCCATTTCCTCAGTCTCCATCTGATTCTGCATGTCACTGCCTCCATCATGAGGGCTGAGCTCTTTCACTCTGCAACAAGAAGATTTGTCACTCAAATTCTTCTTCCAGCAGTTTCTCAGCTACAGCATCACAAAGCAGCTGCTCCAATCAGTCAGTGCTCAGCAAGAGACATTCAGCTGCACTTAAAACATTGCACATTACCACCCCTCAAACAAGCTCACGTGGGCAGATACCCCCAAAGACTATGGGAAGGAAAGCCAAGAGACATTTGCATGAAGGAAAAACTTTCCTGTCCGACCATCCACTCTGGCAGTCACACATCACTTGAGCTCGGACTGAAGCCCCTTCGCAGCAGGTGGTACATACACCTCATACACAGTTCCTCAGGTCAGAGTGTGTGCCAGTGTGAATGTGCTATAGCAAATATACTATGAAGGTTGCTCTCTTAAATTCTTAAGTACATTAGATTCATAAGTAAGTTAGGTCTGAGTTATTGTTGTGCTTATGGTAAATTTTATAGAATCTTTTGTTAAATTGTTCCAATTAGGCTATGGATTAAGCGTGGTTAAATCTTAAGACCTAAACCATTGGTTAAGTCCAGGGCTAAGCTTGGCAAGGGGGTCCACTCTGAACCTTGTGACTCAGCAGGAGGGTCTTCCTTATTCCTTTTTATCCTTACCATTTTTCCCATCCTTACCCCTTTTTCCATTCCCCAGCCTCCACGTAGATCATTTTAGGTTGATTTTAGACTGATTCTTCTCTGTGTGCTTTAACTACCTACTGCCTAATAAGTAGTAGAGTGAACCTTGCCAACAAACTGTTGTACTTTCACTTTATTTTTAAACCTGCTTTTGCCGATACCTTTGCCAGTGATTCTTTGAGTAACCTAAACACTCACTCGTGACACACATTCTTAGCACATCCTTACAGACGGGACCCCAAGTACTACAAAAAGCAAAGGGTATGGAGGTAACGATTCAGGACAGTGTAAACTCCCTACAAGAACCAAGGTAGTCCAAAGTCTACCATGAGAGGAGACTCCTCTGAGGAAAGGAGACATTACTCATGGTTTTACACATCTCTATTGTGTCTCACACAGAAAACACCCAGGTTAGTTTCATATGACAGCTCTAAGATAAATTTGCTCCTAACAACCAACCTCCAGGTTGCCATGACAAACAATACAAAAGAACTTGAGATGCCAAAGGTCAGAGTAAAAGCAGCCAAAACACCTTTTGCAGCAAGATTAGAATCCCCAGGTCTGAAAGGCCGTTACCTGTCAGCGTATCTCAGCGTGTTTAAGGTGTACTCACACGAATTCATGCCTGGAGAAATCATTGCTATCTGCAAACAGAACAGAAACCTCAGTGACTCTCACATCTGACTTTTGTTCATGTTCATGGTTCTACAGATCTCACCTCATAGCTGGGATATTTTAGGACAAAGGGTCAGAGTTGACACAGTCTGTCAAGTCCATTTTTCTTTATAGCTTCTGTGGGACATGCCAGCAGCCCTGTATCCAACTTTCCACTTGCTTTGTGTACACCCACCGTGATTCACCCTCCACAGGAAGCAAAGCCCTTCAAGAGCACACCAGGCTCTCCTATAGATTCACTGTATGAAAGTGTCTTCTGCAGCTCTGCTTCTATGGGAACTGGGCATAGCTCACCAATTTATTATCTCAGTCACCATGGGCAAGTTTCTGTGTAGAAACTGTATGACTTTTTTTTTAAGAGAGAGATCTGAAGCTTTCTAACTTCAAAATCCCCTCATTCTAGAAGAGTGTGCAGGTACTGGTCAAATTGCAGAAGCCATAAGCAGTGTGTTTGACATGCATACTCACCATACAGGTCCTTGAGTTTGTTCCTATGAAAGAGTCTCTTAGCACCTGGGTCAGCTTGCTCTCCCGAAAAGGGGTGTGAGACTTGTTCTGCCCTAAAGCTCGGATACACTCCTAAGAAAAGATAAGTCTTGTGAATGCAGTATCGGCATCTCTCCTCAGACAGCTCTGCTGGCTATCAACCACCAACTGCTGGTAAACCCAACAGGCTGCACAATGGTCACCATCTACTGCTCTGTAGTCCTTCATAGCCTTTAAAATATACACCAGGTATTTTACTGTCACAGGACAGCAGGTATATTCATCATATGTGAAAAAAAGACAACTTGAATGAGGCTGTACCAGTGTCTGGCCTGACAAGTCTGCACTGCTTTCCTGAAAACACTCTAAATGGAAGTATACCCCATTTTCAGGGTTGCTCACATACTAGATTAGTATTTTCTTGGCTGTTCTTTTCCCTTGTGCAGATAACCCCGGAGTTGAACAGAATCCATACGTGGATTATCACTCTTTGCTCCCCGAGCTATTAGCTCACCTTCAAAGCCAGCAAGCTCTTATTGATTTCTGCACCTTCCATTCGTGTCTGCCGATCAGCACTAGCTGTGTCTGCACCCCTCTCATTTCCTGCCAGATCCACCAAGGAAAATTTGCCAATCAGTTGTCCTCTTTGGCGCAGTATGATTTGGAAGCAGGCGTGTGACCGTGAAGAGCTGGCATTTGCAAAAGTCTGCCCAGACGTCCTACAGCAAAGATGCAAACAAGCACTAGAACTGTGTCACAGGAGACAACAGGTCCTGACAGCACCAGACAAGACCTGCAGCCATTCAATTAAGTTGTTTAACCTCCCAGGTTTTATCCTGCACATTAATACTTCAAGTTTGTGTGAATTATGGAGTTATTTCTGATACAAGAGCACAGGACTGCTGTGAAAAACATGAACCTGCAC